GTCAAATTGTGCGTGATACAGCTGTTAGGTGATATTTCGGTTAATAAACAAAAATATCCCTGGATTGACCGATTGGCTACCAGTCGTGCATGTGCTTCTTGATAGATCGGAAAATCAAGGTAAGCTCACAAAAAATTAATTATTAGAGTCACTTTTTCGCTAAAATTCAGAGAGCCAAATAGTGTCCTCCGGCCTGTGAATCCTGTGCATGATAACTACGTGGTGCAATGGGATTAATAGTTGTTTTCAATCTTATCAAGACCCCCATAACCTCAAACTTTATTTTGCGTCCTCGGTTTTCACAAAAAATCGAAATTAACAGAAACTGTGTTTTCAGGGGTAATACCGGACATGCCACGAAAACACCGTCATAAGCTAGGAACGTCCTATCGGCGCAATTATTCCCAAGAAAGCATGGAAAGGGCATTGTTGGCCGTGTTAAACGATCATTATTCTTTCAAACAGGCAGCAGAAATGCATGGGGTACCAAAAAGCATCCTTTACGATATTTACAGAGGTCAGCATTCTGACAAACTCGGGAGGCCTCCAATTTTGTCAGTGACTGAAGAGCGTTGGAAAGTAGATGCCATGACCACTGCAGGAAAATTTGGTTATCCTTTTGAAAGGCAAGCAATCAAGGAGTTCGTGCGCCATTATTTGAACAGTAAAGGCGTTCATATACAATGTTTCAATGATAATAGACCTGGTGATGACTGGATTGAACACTTTATGGGGCGACACAAGGAGTTATCACTCCGTAATTGTGAAAACATTAAACGAGTTAAAGCTGACATCACAGAAGATACGATTAGGGAATACTTTGAGCACTTGAACGAGACATTCCAGGGAAAATATTGTCAATATGGATGAAACAAACCTTACAGATGATCCTGGAAAAAAACTAGTTTTTATTCCTCGCGGAGAAAAGCATGCGCGAAGGATAATGGATTCTGTTATGTTTGCTGCGGCTGGAGATGGCACTTGTTTACCTCCGTACGTTGTGTACAAAAGTACAAACCTCTACCCAGACTGGATTGAAGGTGGTCCCGCAAACACGCTATATAACAGAACATTAAGTGGATGGTTCGATACTCAATGTTTTGAGGACTGGTTCCTCAGAACAGCTCTTCCCTATCTGCGACGAAAGGAAGACAAGAAGGTTCTTATTTGCGACAACCTGGTAAGCCATCTTTCTTACCGCATCATCAAAAGTTGCGCCGAAAACAACATTCAGTTTGTATTTTTGCCAAAGAATTCGACACACTTATGTCAGCCCCTGGACGTTGCAGTGTTTGGACCGCTCAAGCGGGTATGGCGAGAAATTCTGACTGAATGGAAACGGACCCATAGAGGAGTTGTGCCGAAATCTGTATTTCCTTCGCTGCTGAAGAAGCTTCTGGAAAAATCGGAGGATGGAGAAAGGTTGTCGAGTAATATAGTGTTCGATTTCCGAGCAACGGGCATAATTCCATTCGATCCAGAACAAGTTTTGAAAAGGATTCGGAAACGACCAGCAGGAGGCACAGATGACGCAATGAAAGCGTCGTTTACAGAAGTGATGAACGCGATTGTTATTCCTTTGGATCAAACGGCGACTAGACCCAAACGTAAGACGAAGATTAACGTGCCCACTGGCAAATGGGTGGGTCTTGAAGATCTATGTGCAGTGAATGGTGGTACTAGTCCGGGGGCCGAGGACCTTTTTTCCAAATCATTAATAACAAGCTAGTTTTTTCAATGCAGCTTCATTTCACCGAGACGCCCAATTTTTTTCTCACGAAAATTGCGAAAACAGGTAGCTAACATACTGCGCAGGTGTAAAACATGTCGATTTGGTGACTATGAAAATTTAATTAATAACAGTTAGTTTATCAGCTAAATGTTGAGATAATTTTATGAATAATATGAAACAACATTTGCCCGACAAAATAAAGGGTTTGGTCTACGATGTCCCCCCCTCAAACATGTAGCAATTACATTGCATAATAGTAGATTATACCACGAGTCAATAATGATAGCTATTATTCCCGAGGATTATTACAAACTGAGCCGCGTTAGCGGCGAGGGATTAACATTCCGAGGGAATAATAGCCATTATTGCGAGTAGTATACTCTACTTTATTTACGACAAATTAATTTATTTGAGATTTTCAATGAAAAAATTTCATCCGTCTCATAATTTTCAATACAAATCCACAAGCACTACACGTTTGACACTGACACTTTTGTGGAATAATGACCATTAATCCCGCTACTCGTCATTAATCCCTGGAGGAATAACATATGTCATTATACTGCCAAAATCACAAATATAATACGCACATTATACATTAGTCGTAAATAAAAAATGATTAATAACAAGTTGATTTTTTCAATGTAGGTTGGTAAATATTATTACAATTAAATGGTCACACTGTCCTACAAATAAACAGGTAGCTATTTTCAGTCCTACACTCAAAAGTTGTCGATTTCCCGATTTAACTTTTTTCATTAATAACCGGCTAAATCTTCGTGAGTATCTTCATTTTGATAAGACGCCCAAATTTTCTTTTGCGAAAATTCCAAAAACAGGTAGCTAACAGAGTGCGCAGGTGGAAAACATGTCTATTTGGTGATCATACAAATGTAAATAATAACAGTTGATTTTGTAGCTAAATGTTGAGATAGTTTCATAAATAATATGAAACAACATTTGTCCGAAAAAATAAATGGTTTGATCTAGGCTGCCCCCCCTCTCAAACATGTAGCAGATACGTTACATAAAAAATGCTTTATAACCAGTTGATGTTTTTAATGTAGCTTAGTAAATATTACTACAATTAAATGGTTACACTAGGTTACACTGTCCTACAAATAACGAGGTAAATTTCTCCAGTCCTACACTCAAAAGTTGTCGACTTCACGGTAATAATTTATTCATCAAACACCGGCTAAATCTTCTCGAGCATCTTCGTATTGATAATACGCCTAACTTTTCTATTGCGAAAAGTTGCAAAAGTAGTAGCTACTAGAGTAAGCACTAGTGAGCACATGTAAAATACCTTGATTAGGTGATTATGCAAATGTAATTATTAACAGTTAACAGTTAATTTTTCAGGTGAATAATGAGATAATTTTATAAATAATTCGAAGTTCGATTTGAACCACAAAATAAATGGTTTGGTCTGCAGTGTCCCCTTTCTCAAAAATGTAGCAATTACTGGCTCATAAAAAACGATTTATAACCAGTTGATTTTTTTACTGTAGTTTGGTAAATATAACTAAATACAATTGAATGGTCACATTGTCCTAAAGAGGTAAGATTTCTCAGCCCTACATTCGAGAATTTCGAAAATAGCCCTATGCATATTATACGTAAATATGTACAGGGCTTTCATTTCAAAACTTGCCACCCACGTTATCTGCGTAAGGAGACAGATTTCTTTGATTTTTGATATTATTTGAAATGAACATATCTCTTTTATTTTGAGCTGTCGAGAAAATATCATTTGGAAAACTCCTGTATTTTTCCACGTCATTTAAAAAGGAAAACCCTAACTTAGAAAACACCCTGTATATGAGGTGATTCAAAAAAGTGCGCCAGATTTGATACATTAAAAAAGGAGCTCTATTTTCTTTAAATATCTTTAGAATTAAAATGAACCGGTTGGATCAAACCTTCTCCATCTAGGTATGGAAAATGACAAAGGGCATGGCCCCCTCTACTTTGATGGCATGCCAAAACTCTCTTTCGAGCAATTCAAATCTGGCGCGCTTTTTAAATCACCCTATACTACGATACTGTCTTATTTACGAGGATGCGCGTCGATGCGAATGGAAACCATCGACATAAATGTAGGTATGTGTCCATACACATAACACATATACTGTTATACACGCATCTGTATACGTACATATGTACATACAACATTGCCACCCACGTTATCCGCCTAAAGAGACAGATTTCTGGAAATCGCCGGAACACGTCAACAAATTAACGTACCCCCTCAATAAATTTGTTGACGTGTTTCGGCGATTTCTAGATCTAGTCTCTTTACGCAGATAACGTGAGTGGCAAGTTTTGAAATGAAAGCCCTGTACATATTTAAGTATAATATGCCTAAGGCTATTTTCGAAATTCTCAGGACAATGTGTAATTGTAGTTATATTTACCAAACTAGAGTAAAAAAATCAACTGGTTTCAAATCGTTTTTTATGAGCCAGTAATTGCTAAATTTTTGAGAAAGGGGACACTGCAGACCAAACCATTTGTTTTGTGGCTCAAATCGAATTTCGAATTATTTATAAAATTATCTCATTATTCACCTGAAAAATTAACTGTTAACTGTTAATAATTACATTTGCATAATCACCTAATCAAGGTATTTTACATGTGCTCACTAGTGCTCACTCTAGTAGCTACTACTTTTGCAACTTTTCGCAATAGAAAAGTTAGGCGTATTATCAATACGAAGATGCTCGAGAAGATTTGGCCGGTGATTGATGAATAAAGTATTACCGTGAAGTCGACAACTTTTGAGTGTAGGACTGGAGAAATGTACCTCTTTATTTGTAGGACAGTGTAACCATTTAATTGTAGTAATATTTACTAAGCTATATTAAAAAAATGAACTGGTTATAAAGCATTTTTTATGTAACGTATCTGCTACATGTTTGAGAAGGGGGACAGCCTAGATCAAACCATTTATTTTGTCGGACAAATGTTGTTTCATATTATTTATGAAACTATCTCAACATTTAGCTACAAAATTAACTGTTATTATTTACATTTGTATGATAACCAAATAGACATGTTTTTCACCTGCGCACTCTGTTAGCTACCTCTTTTCGCAATTTTCGTGAGAAAAATTTGGGCGTCTCGGTGAAATGAAGCTGCATGGAAAAAACTAGCTTGTTATTAATGATTTGGAAAAAAGGGCCTCGGCCCCCGGACTATACGTCAAGTTTATCTTCCTCTCTAGAAGATGTCATTAATGGAAACGGATCTAAACAGAACGATAATGAGACAAGGCTCTGTGATCGATTCAGAAAACGATAGTGTTCACGAAGACTCCTTTTCTGAAGTGTCGGACGATGATTCTCCGTCGAAAGTACCAAACGTTAAACTTCCAGTAACCAGTGATACCTTACAAGAAGACTGTTTTGCTATAGTTAAGTTTTTGTACAACGAAGGGACCAAAAAAGAAACTACCAAAGAATTCGTTGCGCAAATTGAAAAAGTTGCAAAAAGCTATATTGCTGTGAACTGTCTTAGATCTTATAAGGGTCACAAAGATTCCTTTGTTTTTCCGGAAGTTGAAGACAAAAGCAAGATAAAACTTCAACAAGTCCGCAGTATTTTAAGTGCGCCTAGAATCCATCGAGGCGTCCATGTGTTTGAAGGTCTGGAGTTACAGAATTAAGGGCATATCTGCCTACTTTTTCAGAATGTAATATTTCGTTTTTTTTCCAAATGTTTGAAAACATTTATTTTATTTTTTTGACGTTCCTACAAGATGTTTTATGAATAAAGATGTTTATTTCCATTATATCGCCTTTACTTTCATTTTTACTGCAACACCTTATTCCCTGCATGTTTTTTTCTTTTTTTTTATAAAATGTCCGATAAAGGTTTCTAGACAAACCAATATCGAATACCAGGCTCAGCCCGCACTTCTTCAATGTAAAAATTGAATCGTCCAATATTACTCCAAACCCCTGGTTATATCGGATCTATCTACTAAGTAGGCGATACAGAGGGAACGATATATTGAAATAAATATGAAAGGCGGGACAGTCGGTATACTTTCGAATAGCATGAAGGGAGTGTAGATTTTGGGATGAAGCTCTTGACCCTTAGTAAACCAGGATTTCCGAGATTTAGCTCTAGATTTAATTTTAACTATCGGAAAAGCTGTTTCGAATAGGTCCGCAACTACGCAATGGAATTTAGATATCGGGTCCGACGAGTTAAGCATGGAAAGCCATTGAGTGGTGGCCCTAAGTTGACGGAACCTAGACATATGTTGTTTCTCACATTTCACGATCTTGCAAAGAACAGCCTCATGATCCGACAAAGCAGCGTCCAGAATGCTACATTCTATCATACCTTCTCGAAAGTTGGAACACATGCAGTCAATAATGGTAGATGATTGTTTAGTTATACGAGTTGCTGAGTTAACATGCATATGTACCGGGTGTTTTTTTATCTTTGATATCATTTTGATCACCTGTAACTTTTTTGTTTTTAAAGTTATCAAGGTAAACAAAAAAACAAAATGTTAGGTTAGCAGCCGAGTTTTTTTTTTAAGTTACACATAAAACAAAACACTATCAATTTTTTGACATATAGGCCTACATTATATTTTTTTAAATGGAACACCCTGTAGATTATATGTGTGATTGATAGAATATCTTATTCTGATTACAAGGATATAACACACTTCATATTTTGGTCCACTCGTTTTTGATAAATCGGCAAAAATATGAAACTTTTGAAGTGAAACTTATTAGGCAGGGGTCTGATATTTGGGACGAGAATTATTGAGAGTGTATATAAAACTTTCATATATTTTTGCCAATTTGTCAAAAACGAGTGTACTAAAATATGAAGTGTGTTATATCATTGTGATATTCTATCGAACACACATATAATATACAGGGTGTTCCATTTGAAAAAATATAATGTAGGCCTTTATGTCAAAAAATTGATAGTGTTTTGTTTTATGTATAACTAACAAAAAACTTGGCGACTAATCCTACATTTTGTTTTTTTGTTTACCTTGATATCTTTAAAAACAAAAAAGTTACAGGTGATCAAAATGATATCAAAGATAAAAAAACACCCGGTACATTGAATGACCTAAGCAGATGACACAGTCTTGAAGTTAAACCAGATCGCTTGTCGTCATAATTTATTTTAAAATCTCCCGACAAGACAATGTGCGTGGAGTATGAGATTTGAGACAAAAGACATTCCAAGTTAGAAAAGAACTCATCACTACCTATCGGAAAGCGGAGTACATATTATATAAAGGTTCTTGCTCTCAGAGAATATAATGGAAAATTCAAATGCAGATTCCTTGAGCAAATAATTGAATTTGTCCATTTGTTGAAAATCCGAAACAACAATCAGCCGGGTTTTAGCCAATGTTCAGTCAGTAGCACTAGATCTGGCACATTAGGATCACACAACAACAATGAAAGCTCATCCGTCTTGTTCCGCACTGACTGAATATTCAGCAATAAGATAACAATATCGCTAGGGATCTGCTGATACCTGAGGCGCGTGCTGGCATACAAAATGTTTGCCTTTATTCCTTGGAGCTTAACATGTATCAATGTTCGGGATGCTTAGGGCACGTTGATCTTCCATATTCGAATCAAGCAAAACGTTTTGCCTCTCTGGAGGCAGTACCTTCGCATCCCACTAGACGGCAGGAAAAACAATTCTCCGGAGCGCGCTTAATGAATCTGGGTAGTTTTTGGGAAAGGTTGAGATTTTGGGATGCCAGAGAGATTCCCTTCCCTTTCCTTGAGGAATCACTTCTGCAAAGAGGGACTTTGATTTCCAGCTAACTCAATGGGTTCACCCATCAGATATTCTTTATATATTAAAGAGGCCAGTTTCTATTTAACGTCGTATATACTGGTAATATGATCCACAATGTTGGTCGAGTCCAAAAATCGGTCAAAGGGAATAAACCTGACATTATTGATAGAGGCATGCACGATTTTTTTAATGAGGATATTGTACTTATAAACATGTAGTCTACGCCACACCGGTACTGTCATCTGGGAAGCTCCAACAATCAATAGGTTAGTATGTGAAAAAACATGAATTACTTTATGCAATTCACTTGTGCTCATGACTTTAGTCTCTCCAGTACTACGGGCGTCAATGAAAAGCAGAACAAAGTCATTCCTTGAAAAACCCTTGAAAAGTTTTCGTCCCCTTGTGGCCATTTCCGTCAGTGTAATTGGTCCAATAAAATATTGAAAGTTTGTATCAATAGGCACTTTAGAAAGAGCATTTAGTTTTATAAGTTATGGAATACTTCCGACACAATCTCTGCTGCCCATCACCAATAAGTTGGATGCTGTCCAGATGAGTTTCCGTCCGCCCAATGTTATTGGAAGCAAAATCTCCTCGGAATTGTTCAAAATGGCCAGCCTCAGATTCCGCACCTCCAGCAGGAACTTTAGTTTTTTTTTTTTTTTGTATTTGTACCCATGCTTGTAAGCCTTGTTTGTACTGCTAACGCTCTAAAAACTATACGTACAATTGGGACGCATTTGACTCGCATTGGGTGTTAGATAAAACCTATCTGCTAGCGATGAAACAGGGACTTCTGAAACGTCCGAGCATTGTTGCCCCGTGCAAATCTATGGAGGTCTGAGTTGCTGAAGAGCATATGAAAATGTTCTTAGACTGAGAACCTTGTCAAGTTTTTGAAATCGTAGTCTGAGTTGAAATGGAGTGCCCCATTATTTTTGTTTGCGTTTAATTACCAAAGATTTTATCCTCGTAGCTTCAACTGAAGTTGCAGGTCTAATATTTCTGCTTTATACATTTCGATGTCTCTCTGGAACTTAGATTCCATTTCCATTGTGTCCTCCTCAAAAACTGTAGAGTTTTGCTTTAAGCGTGTAATGTTTTTGTTTTTGTGCTCCAACTTCGCCTGTAGATCCTGCACGAGACACAAAAGAGATTGATTCCGATATTCCTCTTCACTAGTTCTCGCAGCTAAATCACTGCAAGTGACCGAACAATATATCAAGTTATTGTTCAGCGTTTCGTAGTGCTTTGTTCTCTTCAAACAGCTCGGATGGAAAACATTGCTACAAATTACACATAGGGAATTATTATTAGATTTTTTTGCAACACTTGAAAATTTCGGCCATGACGGATGCCTATATTATCTTTTGCGTTGAAAAATTGAAAATATAAATAAACAATAAACACGTCAAAGTAGACAAACAAATTAATCATTGCGCTGCCTCATACACAAAAGTTGAAGAGCGAATACTCTTCCGCGATTACAATAGGTTGATTACACAATTCCAATAATTTTGATACGCAGCACAACTTTACTGTTCACAATTTACAAAGGAAAATATACGTAAACGCAAGACCCGATATGCGATACACAACGCACGACGCACTTCTCTAAGTCAGACATTAGAATTGCGCTGCGGAGACCATTGCAGACAAGAGGTATGTAGAACTTAAGTTTTACAAGAATTCGAATCGGAAGTTGAAAGGCTAGTGAGTTTGGCGTTTCCTGCAGCTGGGAAAGACATGTAGGGATGGATGGCACTATCTGCGTTTATTGATGGTCTCGGAGATTTCAAGATCCAGGAAAACCTGAGAATGTCTAAGTTCAGGAAAAGTACCGAAGCCCTTGTTCGAGCATTGAAATTGGAAGCAATCTTTGGTGTCTCACGACCCAGAATACGAGCAGTGTCCATTGAAGACCCAAAGGATAACCAATCGACAAAAGAAGATAGTAGCTTCGAGAATCTTATGAGTAAGTTCATAGAAAAAATGGAGAAACTAGTAATAAAAATCAAACAAATGGAAAACGACTCCAAACAAACACCAACACCGAGAAACCAAGTAAAATGTTACCGGTGGCATAAGCTTGGACACATGCAATGGGATTGTAGACTAAGGATGTCCTCTCCATCTAGGGATCGTTCCCAATGCTTTTGGAGATCTGGAGACGCCAGCCCTAAACATCGACCTGGAAACATGCATGAGAAAAACACTGGTCCAGCTGTGAGAAGAATGGGTCTTATCGTTGATGATAAATGGACTACCAAACAAATGAGAGAAGATCAAGAGGCAGGCCAGGATATCGGGCAAATTCTACATCTTAAAGAAAATGGTGAATGTAGACCAGAATGGAGGGAAGTGTCGAACAAGAGTTTGATTTACAAATAGACCCTGAGATAGGGCCTGTTTAGTGGAGTCATTTTTTTTGTCTGGCATTTTGAGGGATGAATATGACTAGTTAGCTGATGAGAATATAAGTGGTTTTAACGCCTGCCTCCTGTTCGAAATGTCCACAGAATGTTTCGCCGGAAAACTCGATTTCGAACTGTGATTACCGTCTGGCGATTTTTCAGCGTTATTTTCACAACAAAACCTTTAATTCTCTCGATTGCCAGACAAAAAGTAAACGCGGAAGGTTCTTTTCTCTTGGAAGTTGACACCCATCCCCATTTTTTCAGCTATTGAAAAGCATCTGATGTTTCTCATGGGTGAATTATTTATCAATGTCAATCTTTTATTTAAAAGCTAGAAAATTTGAGATCATTAGAAAAAAATTCTTCAAGTAAATCAATTTTTTTCTTCTGCAAATTTTCGAACGGGAGGCCGGCATTAAAATCGCCCATAT